GGTAAGTGGTGGTGGGTGGTGGACGGTGGTTATGGGTATAATGAAAAGGGAACTGTCACATCCCTAACTGATGACTAGAAGACAAAATGGTACTTCAATTAAGTATGAAAATAACCTCACTTGGATATATAAAAATACAAAAAAAAAGATGAAAGGATCATTAAATTGGTGATCTCATAGGTAAGTTTAAACATCGTATGCATATGTTGTTTTCAAACTCAAGATATTTAATATTCTCTTTTGCTATAACTGGAAGAACTAATGCTTTGGAGAAAAGTAGGGAGAAACATAGACTCTGGTTTGTATATCTTCAAATAGGTTTTTCAACTTTCCAAATAGAAGGGAAACAGATCTTGAACAGTTTATATGCTGTAGTAAACAGATCATTTTTGACAAGACATTGCACCCTCTGTCTTACACATTCTTTTTGAATTATCTACATTTAATTATTGGAAAAGGTCTCCACCACTGTACCAGAAAGTTGAGGTCAGCTGGCCCTATCTACACATGTGCATAGATAAATCCAAAAAAATCAATTTCCTAGTAATTTAAACCAAAATAAAAGAAGAGCATATGTGGATAATAGATGCTAAATGTCCCAGGCAAACCTTCTACTGATAAGAACATGTATCACAGGCTTTGCAGAGATCATGTGCTACTATATCAAAAGCCACCCACTTGAATTATAATTAGGCAAACCCATCGGTAGCCCCCTAAAGTTGGCACCAAGTATCACGTAGACACCTTAACTAAGTGATGTTCATTTTAGACACCTCACGTAGGGTTTCATTGTGTTGTTTTGACACTTTTTAACAATCAGCCAAAATATATAATGTGTGTGTTACACTCGCAAATGACATGTAAAGTAACGAATAAAATGACGACATTTGTCATTCGTATTCAAAATAATTATTAACTAATGAATTTTGAATAAAGATAAAAATGACCAATGAATCAATGACATGTGGCATTTTTTTCAAATAATTTTAAAAAAAAAGAGGTTTGACCAATTAAAAAAAATGCAGAAGCAACCCACCCCCACCACGCCACCCCTGCTGATCGTCATCTCCCAAAAAGTTTTAAGATTTGGAAGTGGACGGTCATATCTCTGCTTTTCTTTTTTTGGTTTATTTTTTATTTTTTAAATTCTTTACTTAACAATAATTTGTGAGTTAAATATAATTTTCAATCACCATTTACTTTATTTATTCAGATCTGAAAAATATTTCCACCCTTTGTTCACCAGAAAAATGGAGATCCACCACCGCCACTATTCTCATTCTCTCTCCCTCCTTCTATTCTACTAAATCGTATTTTATCTAAAATTAAAATTATCAAACTTTTTCAATATTTAAATCTTAAAATGGGTCTGTTCCTAAACTTCTAATGGATTTGAATAAAAAAGTCAAACCTCCATGGAAGGAGTTTAAGCTTGAAAAATGGTGGGAGGTGGTGACTTGAGAAATGAAGAGAAAAAAAAAAAAAAAAAAGGCTAAATCTAGACTTTCACGCGTCATTGTTGAGTGTATCACACTCACTTTGACATGTCACCAAAAAGTGTTAAAATGACATAGTGGAACCCTATATGAGGTGTCTGAAATGAACATTGTCCAGTTGAAGTGTCCAAGTGAAACTTAGTGCCAACTTTAGGGGGCCACCGATGGGTTTGGTCTTATAATTATGTTAAACATTCATGTACAGATAATGATAAATAAGAGAACTCAAGAACTTGTGGAACCTGGGTAGGATATTTCTCACTACATGTACGAGTCGCTACCCACTCTTCCAGCAATGCCTGCATGAAAGACACAACTTTGTCAAGAAGGTAAGACATGGTACTAAATATGAAAGCAGTTTTACTGCCTCAATCCTGCTTTAGGCAATGGATAATAATTGAGGATGATAATAATGGACTCAATTTCATTGCATATTGTATCAGCATCAGGAAGGAGACAATTATATTTTTTTGGGTAGTTTGTACACATAGCTCAGTTGCAGGTAACTTTGACTTGTTTAATCAATGTGTAGTTTTGAAAATAAAGGATGCTGTATAGTGATAAACCTATAAATGATTTGGTATGTTCCAAATGAAAATTGCACTGCAAAAGAGGGGGAGGAGGGGAGGGAGTCAGACAATATTATGGAACATCCCACTATTATTGCATACAATTGAGGTTCTCGTAAATTATTGGAAGCAGAAGTAGTAAACTCAGGAAGTAAAAGACTCCACATATATAAATGGTTGACTATTTCCATTTTGCTCTTCTGAAAATAGATAAATCTTGCTTTAGTGGTTCTCTCTAATTAACCCCATCTCTTCCTGTTATTGACTGACAGCCAATAATAAATCAAACAATTTAACTTTAAGAATGTAACAACTGAGAAGTTCAACGAGGAGCACTTCACTACTTCAGTCAATGAATAAATCACATGAATCTTATAGTTTACATTATTCTAATCAGCTAGTACATATATCCCAACCTCATTGCCCCATTGCCTTTTCCTTTCAAAGCTATCCATGGAATCTTGCTTAGTAGCTGTGGTGGACTAGTGTGAATGCAATGTATAAGATAACCAACATGAAAAGCATATTTTTTACTTCACCATTTAACAGGAAAAAAAAAACCACTGTGATCCCACAAGTGGGGTCTAGGGAGGGTAGAGTGTACACAGACCTTACCCCTACCATATGAGGTAGAGAGGTTGTGTCTGATAAACCCTTTGCTCAAGAAAAACATTAAACAAAAAAAATGTTGAGCTATTGCATGAAGCTAGTTTAACGTAAATTGAGACATCAGTTTACAGTAAATAAAGGAGGAAAGGACAGTTGGGAGAAGTACTAGGGACATGAGTAAGGAAGGATGTAGAAGGTAAACTTTGTCGCTCAAAATAGAAGGTGGAACTGGGTACATTGAAGGGAAGATAATATCTTAAATCTCTTGACTTCAAACAGACTAATGCGCAGATTAGTAAGAAAACAATAGCTGTTCCAAACAGGTACATATAGTTTACAGTAAATAAAGGAGGAAAGGACAGTTGGGAGAAGTACTAGAGACACGAGTAAGGAAGGATGTAGAAGGTAAAATTTGTCGCTCAAAATAGAAGGTGGAACTGGGTACATTGAAGGGAAGATAATAACTTAAATCTCTTGACTTCAAACAGACTAATGCGCAGATTAGTAGGAAAACAATAGCTGTTCCAAACAGGTACATATAGATAAACTATATTTTACTTTGCCATCTCGAAGAAAAGGCTTAGAGAATTTGGATCAGCTCTTTATCTTGATCTATTTTAGAGAAAGAAGATATAATGAAAAAAAAACTGGAGATTATATAGGATAAATAGACATTTAAGGTAACCACCTTATGGTCAAATTCGGCCATCCGTAGAACTATAGGTACAATTATTGGTTGAGCACCAGATTTTTCTCTTTTATGAGAAGGATTTTGGTCTGCTCCTGAATCTTTAACTTTTTCACCTGCATTACCAGACAGGCAGTGAGGAAGCATCAAAGGAGAGAAAAAATAAAGAAAGAACCCACACAACCCTTCCCCCAAAAAAGCAGCTTGAGTAGCTTTTAGTGGAGATGGAAAAACTAGCAGAAATGCAAAGGCACGTACCCCTATTTTCAGAGATTTCATTAACAATGTCCAAGGATTTCAGAGCAGTTGTGAGGTTGTTTAACTCAGAAGTTTTCCCTGGTTCTGAATTCATATTGCAGTCACTCTGACTGTTGTGTCTAACATTAGAATTGCTTTTCTGTTGTAATTCATTCTGTTCTTCCACCTTCAGAGATTCTGGCCCTGCTTGGTTTGCTGGAGAAGCTGGTGGCAATTTATTCTCTTCATCCATAAGGTAAATACTAGGATCTAGGTGTATCCCCTGCCATTAATATACCATCCAACTGGGATCACTCAATGTTGCATTATTTTTAAATTTGAACTGAATGCAAAACCAAAAGGATTTTCGACATTCACCACCAATTGCAAATAGTTGATGTGATACAAAACTGTGATGAATCCTCTAATTACTACTGCAGCAACAAGGATGAATATACTCTTCTTTTTTTTTGGAGAAAGGCAACATGACAATGATGAATATACTAGAATGGACTATGCTATGCATGCTCATGTGTCAATACATATTATTTCTTTCGCATAAAATGCTTCCTGAACTGCACTACTCTCTCTTCGGGTATCTTTCTTTTCAAGAAAAAAATAAGGTAATCTCATTATATTTAAGGCACAATGGGGGTATTGTGTTAGAAAATTATATTCAAGTGTGCTAAGAGCTTCATTGTCTCTACCTAAAGGAGCCACTGAAGTTTACCATATGATCAATTTCATTTACACGTTCAGACTTAGACCAATAAGACAAAAGGTACAAAAAAGATATTTAGGCTGATACACCAATGAGTACTGCCTTCAGATGCATTAGTTGTTTTCCTTACCTGCATATAGAATCCGCCTATGAGATTGAACTATGAAATTTGTTTTCCATAGATTTGAATTTCAGAGTGGTTATGCAAAAGGATATCCAGCTGAACCATATTTCTCCAAACACTATTTCCTCACCAAAGAAACCGGAAAATACCAATTTATGTGGTCATAAACCTTCTTTGTGCCCCACTTACATAGCAGGCTGGGATTTTCATTTGATTCTCCCATCAAGACATTCATTCCACATCCATCATGTCCAGGTGTTCATAACCCTTTGCTTATTTATTGTTTCAACATCATCTTCTTCAAAGGGTCTTTTGCAACCACTCATTCTCTTCCTAAGAGACATTAAGAATCTCCTTCTCACACATCGCTCTCCTGCCTGCTCTTTCATATTTAACTCTTGATAGAACCTCAGCAATTTTCTGTTTAATCCTATCTGCTTCCTCGACAATTGTCCTTTCTATCATGAGCTTATAATTTGTGCTGACGTTATTGGCATCAGCCATTTTATAGATAAGCTTTGCTTTTTGTCACCACTTTGCAGCCAGGAACAAGTTTTTACCTATTATCCCTCTCCTCGATACAATCCCCCTCTGCATTTGCTAACTTTTCCTTATCACCTTAAAGGTCAATTCTCTATTTGGTTTCATCATCAGTTAGACTGTATGACTTAGCTTCTTTTTTCAGTTCTTTCTAGCTTGCTCCAATTTCCATCTCCCTCATTTCTTGGCATTTTTCAATTGACTGGCTCAAATCTTTTAGTAACTCTTTGAGAAGCTTCAGCTTTCAGGTGATTTCAAAATCAGCTCTGCCTTTTTGTATTGTAAGATGCCACCAATCTTTAACCAAATCCATAAAATCATCTTTCTATTGTATAGGGAAGTAGTGCAGGAAAGTATTAGATTCTTCTTTGTTGTTAAGTAGATCCCTTGTAAGTTTATTCCTTCCTTTGGTGGTGCGGAAAGTTTGGATCTATAAGGAAATCTTGAAACTCACAATATATAATTGTAAAGGTGTGTGGTAAAAACACTTCCTTTAATATCAGCATCTTTAACCAAATCCATAAAATCATCTTCCTATTGTATCAGGAAGTAGAGCAGGAAAGTATTAGATTCTTTTTTGTTGTTAAGTAGATCCCTTGCAAAGTTTATTCCTTCCTTTAGTGGTGCAGGAAGTTTGAATCTATAAGGAAATCTTGAAACTCACAAGTTTATAATTGTTTACGTATGTGCTAAAAATACTTCCTTTAATATCAAGCATGTATATGCAAGCAAAACATTGGTGCTAATAAGTTCCTACCGAGTTTTATAGGTAAGACATGGGAAAGTATGCAGGTTTTCACAAATTCTCGTGTTCATCAATCAAAATTTAAGCATTTCAAACTTGAAAAATGAACCATTTCTATTCCCAAATGCACACTCTAGCAAGATTTGTTTATCATCCAATACTGGGATCACCCAAGCTATTGTTTTCCTGAACAAATCATCTAGTTCAGTAGAAAAGGAATATTTCTATCCTGAACGCAGCTGGTCTGTCTTCAACTCTTATTCTTGTGAACTTACTACCTAAAAGTGCAGGATTAGTTAGATCCAACTCTGAGATGAGATTGGATAAATCTTTGATGGACCATGTAACCCAAGTATTATTGGACTTCTCAACTTCAAACCTAACAATCCGATCTAATCACCCATTATTGCACAATCCTCTCAGTGCCTCCAATTCCTACCACATATCCCTTCTTTCATCAAAGGAATGTGGTCCATACTCCCCCGTGTAAATACCCGTGCATAATCGGATCAAGTGATGGACCGAATAATGAAGATGGAACGATCATCTTTCATACTTTCTTTGGCAGACTTTGCTCTTTTGTCCAATTAAAATCCCACTTTGGCCCCATGGGCTCCCGGTACTTACATCAGTCACCCATCAGTTGCCTCATACTTGCCTAGTTGCCTTGTTAGTCTACTGTCCATTTACTTATCTTGGAGCTTTGGAGGAAATAATACATGTCAAAATTTTATCTTCAATGTGGACTATTTCCCTTTTATTTACCCCCTCACATTTCAGCAAACAATTTCAATCTTCATTTGGGTACATAACATTGACCTTTTATAGTTGCTCCAATCTCCTTCGTTCCCATAATTTATAGGAAACTCCAACTCTTTAAGCTCTTCCTAACCTTTTTGGTTTGAGATAGAACCACTCTTATGACCTCTTTTTTAAACCTATTAACAGAAACCCCAAAGCTTACTAAGCCTCAGAATATTCTTTCTTACCCACTTTGACATTTGATTTCTTCCAACTGATTTCTTGTCACATGCAGCTGATAATGCTTTGCCTGCACAGTGTACCAAGGTAGAAACTCTTCTGATACTGCTATAAAGCAGATTCACCAATGATTTCTCTGGGACTTCCTCAATCTCTCTTCCCTCCCCTCCTTCTGATCTCAAATGTAGATGCACCAGAAGAACTTGGGTGGAGATTTATCCTTCTCCCAGATTCTCTCTCCTTCTGGATGTCAAATAAGGTAATTGTGCACTTTCACATCATTTCCTTCCCGATCATAAGTTACAAAGTGATTGCCACTTTTTCTATTATTGACGATGCATAACCACATAAATGAGCTCAAACTGTGTTATCTGACAAGAAGCCCTCGTTTTGATGGTGCAAATGAAAGTCCAAACTAGTTAGTAACAAGAATAAGATAGACATTTTTTATAAAGCTTTTTGTATACAAAGAACAAGAACAAGATAGACTTAGAATCAGAAGACAACACTCACAAGTCACATCGATATCAGATGCATATATAAAGACATCAAGGAGGTTTAGAACTACTTAGTTTTTTTGGCAAATCCAAAATGCTAATCTAGAAAATTAGTTCCGATACATCCATAATTTTCTCAAGTGATTGGATGTACAAGTATTATATATATATATATATACACACACACACATATATTAGGAGATAAATCTGTATATAGATACAAAGCACACCCTCTGGGAGCTTTGGAAATAGTCCATGTTTCCTCCGCAAAATTCCTTTTTAAAAAATAATTCGTTCTAACAGAGGTGGGGCTCAATGTAAAAACTTAAGACTTCTAATCTTGAGAACTCATTTCTGCCAGTGGCAATGCTTTCTTCTTATTATTTATTTTTTATTATTTTTATAAGGACCAGTAGCAATGCTTCTTTTCCAATCAAGATGTCAAGAGAGGATTATGAAGAAAGACAGGGAGGTCACACAAGTGTCTATAACATCTAAGCATGACAAAACAAGTGATGAAAAAGACTCATTATGTAGTTTATGGAGGACAAATACCTCAATTATAATTGGTTTTCCATCTTTCATAGCTTTCTTCAAATCACCAGCCAAACCTACAAAAAATTGAGATGCTGATCAAATTCCTTGACATGATCCAAAACGGTTGTTTACAACAAGAATTACCTTTCCTTACTATTCTGCATTCTCTGCAGAATTCGGTAATTAGCTCATCTGATGAACTGAAATCACGTGCCCATACAGGAGAAGATGCCAAAGGTGCACTGACAAAATTACAAGGTATACAAGTATTTGAGCGCCACATGATATCACACTTCTCAGACAACCTTTAGTTAAGCATGAACAACATGACTACCAGTTTTCTGGAAGTAACAGGTAACCAAAATAACTAAATCTGCATTGACAGTTACATACTCTGTTGATGTCCGTAGCAATTCATACACCATGGCAGTCTGAAAAAAAACGCATATAATTGATAAGCAAGCAAGGATAAACAGAGCGCTTGCTCAAAGGAAAAGATAGAAGCAGACCCAGAAAAAATGCAGAGGGATTAAAGAAGAACCTGCAAGACATTTGGCAAGTTCAGCCTCTGTGCAAGTTGGGTAGCAATGGTAGATTTTCCAACACAAGCAGTACCACAAACAAGAATTACCAAAGGCACTCGCATATGGTGAAATCTAAGAACATAAAGATAGCCAAAAAACAGAGGGAAAGCAACATCAAATACTAAATTAGGTCGTTTCAATCATTCCCTTCCTCATTGCTCCCTCCTCTACAAAAATGAATATACAAGAAAATGATCCTCAATAGGAAAAGAAAGGGAAAGTTGACAAAAAAATATCACCAACCTTGTAATCATTTTATAACGGTTTATATACTCTTCTCCGAAACCTCTTCGCTCCATAAGCTGCATGGCATCCAAACAATTCAGTGTTATTTAGCTACGTTCAGAACTTTGAACAACTTCTAACAGAAAGGAAAATCAAGTCACATACTACAAGGTCAACTTGTACAGAAACTAGTATGAGATGTTTGTCGAATTAAGAGAAAGAAATCACAGAAATTAAATGTTTCTTTGGAAAAATCTCTTCATGTATAACTTTTGTGATTGAGGCAATAGGGTTTGCACAGATGTATTATGGCAGTGTTTGTTTTTTCAGACAATCAATAGATAAACGACCTATAATACCCTCAACCAAAGGGTTGGTTCCTGACAGCATAACATGCTTATCAATTTGTGCATCTTAACTCTCCTACACAGGTAATTCAATATAAAACACAAACATCTTTGTGTCAAGATGTAGAGCCAATGGAATAAGCTAAAACATTCACAGTTAAGTATCTTGGATAGTTAAATATTCATGGAAAAATGACTGAACCTCTGTAAAGAATTGGAAACAGAACATAACCGAGAATAAGACATGCGGTACCTTGAACAAGTTTGCCTCCAAATCTGATTGTGAGCTGCATTAAGAAATAATTGTTTAATTACTACGGAGCAAGTCAGGTAAAACTCGATGAGAATAAGATACAAATTTTGATGTCATACACATCGAGTAGGCTGTTGTCAACAAGAAGCTTCTTAAGCTCAAGTGCAATTTTAATAGCCACATGATTTGGAATCTGTAAACGAGAAACAGTGCACATTAACTCCACATTCATACCAAAAGCTATAGATCTGGTAGTAGGCCATCCTTTGGAAATAAGGAAACCTGGGACCCTAACAAAGTAACAAATGACAGCATAATAACCATACATATTGCCTAATTCAAGGAACAGCAGAGTTGTGATGTTAGAATTTTAATAGGAACAGTGTTGGTAAGCGACAACTTTAGTCATCGACTAAGAGAAGCAGCAGAACTTAAGGTGATACCTAGAGATATACTCCCTCTGTTCATTTTTAGTTGTCCACTATACTAGTTCACTTTTAGCACAGAAAAAAAATATTTTTTTGGTGGTTTACCCAAAGACTATACATCAATTAAAATGGATATTGTGGTAAAATACTCATATTAATCATTGTTTATAAAGGGGCGTGCAAAATCCAAGGTATACAAGTAAAAGTGAACCAGGGAGTACATGTTTGTATTTTTACATGGCAACTGATAAGCTGCTCAAGCCAATACCTTTTCTTCTTCTTTTTTCTCCCATATAATTCCAATTTGATAGTAAATTTTATTTTTTCAACATAGAAAATAAAATCTGATACCTTTGTCAAAAAAAAAAGAAATCTGATTCAATTCATGATATGATAACTTGCTGATTATGAATTTGCATGTGATTCATAATCTGCGAAGAAAGGAAGGATCGATGCTGAACCTTAGTGACTGTGAGCATTCTGCTGAGCAAAAATCTAGAGAGAACATAGTAGTGATCGGCATTGTCACCCAGCCATACTTTCACCTAAAACACAAGCAAGCAAGCAAACAGAGAACAAAATCAAACTAAAATAAAGAAGAAAAAAAGAGTCTGAGACAAAATTGCAGCAATGGAAGGAATATAAACCTTAACGAAATCGTATTTGGAAGAAGCGTTTCGGGTAGAAAATCGACGAGCTGAATGATTAGTTGCGGCAGCATCTTCTTGTTCGTAATCTTCTTCTTCATTGGTGCTAGGGCTTTCTATTACAACCGCCTTATCCTTCTTCATATCTCACTGATAAATATCTCGGGGACTGTGCCCGCCGGGAAGATGATGCCGGTAAATATCGACGGAGAATCTGGACAATCAACTTTACGAACAACTTGTGCTTTGCACATAAAACTTTCTTCGCTTTTATTGAACTGTGTCTGTCGGGTGGGATTCCTTTTGGCTTTAGCGATTAAGAAATATCTTAGGGCATATTTTATAATTTATTCTGTTTCACCTAATATTTATATAATATAATCTTCATGTAATTAATAGGAAATATTTCATGTTATGTGTCATTTTAACGAAAGTATACTTCGAAAGGTAAGAAACTAACAAAGGATTCAACGGTTAGCATGCTAGCTCTTACTAAATAGGAGGCTCCTTTACACCTTTTGGACAGGTGCGATAAATATATTTTAATTTTGTCTTAACTGATATCTATGATCTTTAATTTTAAATGTACAGATACTTAAATGTCCTAAATGGTAAATCATGTGAGATGCATGCATCCTGCATATCAAATCGTATGAGATGCCTGCGTCCTACATATCAAATTGCGTGAGATTTGTCAAGTAAGATGTGTGTCTACTTGTTTAACTTTATGATGATTTAAGTGTCTACTTGTGCACATCATAAGTTAAACGACATAGATGTAAGTTGAGACCAAATTAAAAGGCATGCTTATATATTACGTCTTTTGCGTATAATAAGCACTAACTATTTTACATATGTGTGAGGTATATCGTCACACATGAGGTGAAGAAAAATGTTTGACTGCAAGGGAGATGATCACTCAACGTGTACAACTCGATATACATAGTGCAAGTAAGAATAATTATTAGATTAAACATCTAGGATGTGAAAATAAATTACTTAAATTGGTATTCATGATGGAGAAGATGAGATACAGAACTTACAGTATATGCAGGCAAGTAGAGAACGATTAATTTATATTGTAGTTAAGTCGTCAATCTTCTTCGAAACTACTAATTTGAGCAACATATTCATAATGTGACTCAATTCGCTTATCCCTCCTCGTGTCATGTGCTTGTTAAAAACAACTAATAGAGATCAATTCCTAATTTTTTTGTATTTAAGGACCGTCACTGATTTAATGAAGTTCATCAACTTTTTTGTATCTTTACTTCAGTTCTTATATGGTGTTTCGACAATTGCAACTATGGAGGATATATGCCATTAACACATTTTGGAAGAGTTGATCGTGGCGGAACCAAAATACATATTATAGGTAAGTTGATCATAGAGAGTGCCCCAATTGTAATAGTCTAAATTGGAGTATGAGTAGATGAGTAGTTCCAATTAAATACCAAATGGATCATGTATATGCATGAGCATGAAAAATTATGTCTTACATGTTGCAAGATTGTTGGCTCCATTTGCTTTTGCATCTTATATCAAAATAGGTCTGAAAGAGAAGTCTCAAATAGAAGGTTACTAGCCTTTTTTATCTTCAAGTTTTCGATCCATAAATCTAGTTACCAGGAACTGAAGATGTCAAAAACCCCAAAAAAAATCATTTCGACATAGATGCCATTGATGTAGAAAATTATTCTGGTTCTCGTCTCCTCCACAAATGACATGCTTGCTGGTATGGTTCATATCAAATATGCTTTCACACAATTGTGGAAGGCAGTAGTCATGGCATAAAAGGTGCCAAAATTCTTTATAACATTGTAGATAAGAAAACCCCTTTTAAGAGTTTTTGGGGTTCCAATACAGAAATACATACCATTAAGCTTGACAAAGATACAGCGAGATGGCTTTAGCTGAATGCTCATGAGGTTACAGCATCGAGCTCTATACACTAACTTAGGCCTCTTTCTCCATCTCTACCCTGAGAAAGTGCCGATCTTCGATCCTATAGTTCCTACGTTACATACTTAAGCGACTACAAATACAGGATAATGACATCAAGGCCTCATTGCTGACAGTATTGGAGCAAAGTGTCGCACTGACCTCTTTCATGTGTTAGAGTTCTCATATGCATAAATGAGGAGGTAAAATCTAGTAGAGTCGTCTGAATGCATGATGAGAAAGCCAGTCTATACACCAGGCAGTGACTTCCAGTCGCATGTCTTCTTGAATAATTTATTGTCTGAATGCATGATGAGGAAGCCAGTCTATGCACCAGGCAGTGACTTCCAGTCGCACGTCTTCTTGAATAATTTACTGCCTCTTTTTCGCATGCCAGTTCCCACAAGACCAGCTGAAAGAAGAGATTTTGTGTCTGGTCTCCACTGAAAATCTTTTAGCGTGGAGAACAAGGTAGAAAGTGCTGGACTGATTTCACTATCCTTTATATTGCCACATGATATCACCTTGAGGCTCTGGATCTCCTTCCACGAAAGGAGTGCAGATTCGAGGCCTTCAGTTGTGAGCAGTGAACAGCTTTCTAGGCAAATAGACTTCACTCTCCTGTTGAAAATAACACCAAAATGAAGCTGTGAAACCCAAATTCCTCACATAATGTTATTTAGTTAATTACAGGCCCTTTATTCAAGTGAACTAAAAAGGGCAGCCTGGTGCACAAAGTATCCATTGTTCACACAAGGGGTGTGATGTAGACAACCTACCCTCCTAATGCAAGCATTAGTGGCTACTTCCACGGCTCGAATCAGTGACCTATAGGTCACACGGAGACAGTTACTTTATTGCTGCTCCAAGTGAATGCAAAACAAAATATGATGCCAAATTGCCAGTCAGAACTGAAGCAAGTTCAGTGTATAAAACTCAAAACTGGACCCTTTATAATCCAAGATAGCACACATGATATTGATAAATCAAGCATCAATAATGAATTGAAACATAATTGTCATGCCATGAACATTATGTGTTTTCTCTAACGCAAGATGGAAGCGTATACTCTTTGAGAAACGGTAAGGCTATTTTAACATTAATAACTGAAACACCAAGAGGGTGCATGATTACAAATGCATCTACAAACTGGCCTTAAAAAAACAATCTATCCCCAACACAAATAGCTAAGGAAATCTATCACACTTATCCTTTTACCAAGAAGATAAGATCAAAGGGTATACTATGACCAAAATAAAATGCACTATTACAAGCAAACTATCCTTTCATTTGGTCGTCTACTATACACGAGGGGCGGGGGATGGGGGTTACAGCAACACTAAAAAGTCATTTTTAACAAAAATAAGGAACTACATTTCAAGGTCATAAAACCTAAACACAATAAGTTCATGTATGTCAAATGCATAACAAAATGCTAATCCAGCACGAAATTTTCCAGCAACAGCAAGCAAAGTAAACGAGAACAGAATAATATAACCAATACCTTAGACCAGTGGATAGACTGAACATTTCATTATCCAGTCCCCAACAGTTGTGGAAAATAACCTCTCTAACTTCTTGACATAGTAGAAACAACGTTCTCAAACTCTCCTTATTTCTTAATTGGCATTTCTCGAAATGTAATCTTTCAAGTGTCGGGCAAGATCCTACATCTTCATCAAACCATCCACAATGATCAATACTCTTACAAGACATAAACCTCAAGGTGTTCAAATTTTCACAATAGGAAAGAGCAGACAACCAACCACCCTCCATCCTATGATCACGAAGAATCAACTCTTCGAGCATTTGACAACATTGTGCTATTGCCTTAATCCCTTCATAGCTCCCTTCACAACCACTCAGCTCCAGCCTCACCAACCTCTTACACCCCTGAGCTAAAATAGTCAATCCAATATCAGTAACCGAAGATTTATAAAACCCATCAACATTTCCAATCAATCTCAATATCTGCAAGTTCTGACAGGCCGCGATACCACGAAGAACCTGATCATTACATCTGTGCAATTCCAACACTTGCAAAGTTGGACATTCCTCAGCTACCCCCAACAATCCCAATTCACTAGCATTTACCACCAATAATCGACGCAAATTAGGACACCCACTTGCTAGTATTCTCAACCCCTTATCAATCTCATCAGAAGGCAACACAAATCTTTCCTTAAGAAACCAATCTTTCGCATCAGCATTACAATCCACGTGAGAAGAAAGCAACCGGTTAGAGCAAAAAACACCCGCATTCCCCGGTGAAATCAGAGACCCATTAACCAAATCAACATGGATAAGATTCGGGAACCGAATAAACAACCGACCCGAAACAAGGAAATCCCAATCAAGAAGCTTAATCGACCGTACCAGACGACCTTGGAGATAGAGCCAGCGTTTAGATACAAGAGAATTACAATTTCTTTGTGAATCAGGGAGTTTAGAGAGAATAGAAAGAAGTATTTGATCAGAAAGAAGAGAAATTGGATCGGATACAAGTGACGGAAGAGTGAAATCTAGGGATTTGCGAAGTTGTGGAGAAGGGGATGAAGATGGGGTTTGCTTATTGGACCTGGATTGAAGATGCATAGTGAAAAGGACATGATTGAGTGCTTTCTTGTTCTTGAGCAACAAATCATTCCAGCTAGGAGATGGTGGCCCTTTCAATGGTGACCTGAAATTTGATTTTTCAGGTGAAAACGCCATTGTTTTCTTAGCAGCCAACAAGAAACACCATGAAAGGTCTGGTTGTTTCACTCAAAATCTTGCATAATTTGTTGTCAAGCTCAGATGTAATCTACGAATACTATTTCTTCCTCCTCTTTCTACTCCCTTTGTTTTTTCGTGCAAAGTAGTTTAGGAAAATTTCGATATTTGAGTCTAACGGATTTGTAAGGAGTGGGACCGGGTCTAGGCATCCAAGAATTTGAATTTGGGTAGATGGGGCCCACTACAGGAGTTTTGGGGATTTTTCCCGTTTGAAAATGGGCCACTTTTTCCAAATTATAATTTACAAGTTCGTTCGTATTGTAAAGCCAATGTGCTAAAGTCCAACATATGGCACTTCCTATAAATGGATGGATGAGCTACCCACCCTTTCAGTCGTTATTCTAATTTGAAAGCATAAAGTACGGAAATCTCAATAATTTGGACGCTAATTATATTTTATCGTAAAAAAATTTCAAATTATTTTTTTAGAACTCGTGGATACATTACATAAGTTATGTGTTGGATACATAACTATAAATCATAGTCATATTGATTTAGGTTTGAAATAATTGGGGTTATGTATCAACATTCAATAATAACATTTTGTACTAGATATATTGTACACAGACAAAGTTGTAATGTATCTGATAGAGATGGAGTAATGTATTCT